TACACTCTAAAAAATGCTGGGTTAAATACAACCCAGTGCTGGGTAAAATAGGGACAAACCCAGCAATTGGGTTGTTTTGACCCAGCGGTTGGGTTAAATGTTTAACCCAACCTTCTGGGTAACAATTGCTGGGTTTGTCCCTATTTTACCCAGCACTGGGTTGTATTTAACCCAGCATTTTTTAGAGTGTAGCAATAGCCAACAATACATTGTATGGGTCAAAATTATCGATTTTTCTTTTATGCCAGAAATCATTAGGATATTAAGTAAAGATCATGTTCCATGAAGATATTTTGTACATTTCCTACCGTAAATATATCAAAACTTAATTTTTGATTAGTAATATGCATTGCTAAGAACTTCATTTGGACAACTTTAAAGGTGATTTTTCTCAGTATTTTGATTTTTTTTGCACCCTCAGATTCCAGATTTTCAAATAGTTGTATCTCGGCCAAATATTGTCCCATCCTTACACACCATACATCAATGGAAAGCTTATTTATTCAGCTTCCAGATGATGCATAAATCTCAGTTTCAGGAAATTGACCCTTATGACTGGTTTTGTGGTCCAAAGTCACAAATGTGCGATTAACTGGGTCCTTTTGAAAGGAGGAACATCAGGAAAGTTCAGCAAAACGCCATTGAACTTGAAGGAACTATTGAGATTTGAAAGAGATTTCATTGTGTTTTTTCTTTCCTACATGCTTTATGTGTGTGTTTTGTAAGTGAGCTGCTCACGGCTGAACTTCCTTATTGAGTCACAATGTTCATGCGTGTCGTTCGCTCTCTGTCAGCTGAATGTTTCTGCGGTGTCTTGAGTCTGCTATCTGCTCTATTTACACTGCCAGATGTGTGTTTAGTCTTTAAGTGGCTGCGCGAAGTGTGTTATATTTCAGCTGGGCGATGTTTGATTACAGTTCAACTCAGTCTGTGCGATTCTTTTGTCTCTTGTGTTGGTATCGGCCAACACAAACAAAACACAAAAAAGAACTTCTGGTTGCGAGTCAACAGTCAGTTACCTTATCCATGATGTCTTTGACTTCCTCAGCATTAGAAGCTGAACCGCAGAGCTGCCCTTTGCTCCTCACACCGCTGCTGACTCATGACGGATCACTGACAAAGACTACAACATGAGTTTCAATTAAAGTTGCAAAGATGAATTGAAATGCACTTAAATGATCCTCTGCTGAGCCTTTTTGTATTTAAGAAATTATTGCTTGCTGAAACTTTTTGTGACTCTCTTGTGATTAATTTGATTCTAAATCTGCTTTTCAGTCATTCGTATTGAGTAAAGTTAGTGCTATATGAATGTAAAATGTAAAAACGGCATTAAGATGAAATTAAAAATATATCAAATAAACACCCTACTGGATATAAAATTTTTAATAATTAGGGTATTTTTTGTTCTCATGTACAACAAAGCCATTTGATAAATTACAGTAAAAACAGTAATACTGTGAAATATGATTACAGAATAAAATAACTGGTTTAATATATTAATCTATATTTAATATATTTTAAAATAATTTTGTGGAAACCTATATTGATTAAAAAAACTTTTTTTTAAATAAAAGTATCATTGTTATTATTTTTTATTTATTTAAATTATTTCTTTCTCCAACGTTTCCACAAAAATATGAACCAGGACAACTATTTCCAACATTAATAATAACAATAATAATAATAAATGTTTAGAGCAGCAAATCAGCATATTATAATGATTTCTGAAGGATCATGTGACACTGAAGACTGGAGTAATGATGCTGAAAATGTTTATAATATTTCACTGTTTTTACTGTATTTTTGATCAAATAAATGCAGCATTGGTGAGCAGCAGAGACTAGCCCTTTTGTAAACATAAGAAAGTGTATATATAAAAAAAAATATATATATATATATATATTTAAAAATATGTTTTAAAAATGGGTTTTTAAAAAAAAGGTTTTGCACTCTTTAGTTCCCTCACTGCCTCAGGTCCGCCGAAATGTTTACTGATGCCAAATATTTCAGTTCAGACTTCATGCTTGCACTAAAAAGCATCAAAGTCACCGCAGATACAGACACTTGATCTAATGAATGGCATTCACAGGTCTAATATTTGATTTCTCTTCATGTCTATCAGACACACTCAGAATCTGGTCTGGACTGCTGTACGAGGTTTGAGATGTCAGTGGTTTTGGTCAGACCACGGGTCTGTAAAGAGTCTCAGACGCAGACATCACACTCTTTGTTTCAGTCTTTTGAAATCAGTGTGCTCTGGTTTATATCAGTCCAGGAAACAGTGTTATGTTTACTGCCGTAGTGCAAGATCTGTGTCATTAATACTTGGATTTTCAGAGGGGTTTTTTTCTTTTTTTGGGGAACTTAGTAGCAAGTAAACTAGATACTCACAAGCAGAACTGATTATTCCACTTTTCTTTCAAAATCATTTCTGTGAAACCATCATTGTTATAATTGCATTGAAAATCAAATTACAGAAACTACACACATATTTACTGTACTTCCATGTGTTTTCACTGTAAGTTGATGAAGCATCAATGAAGTATCAACAGATTTAACTTGACATAATTTTAAAGTCTATCTATCTATCTATCTATCTATCGTTCTATCTATCGTTCGATCTAGCAATCATTCTAAATATCTATCATTCTGTCTCTCTCATTCTGTCTCTATCTATCTATCTAGCTATCTATCTATCGTTCTATCTATCTATCTATCTATCTATCTATCTATCTATCTATCTATCTATCTATCTATCTATCTATCTTTCTATCGTTCTATCTAGCAATCATTCTAAATATTTATCATTCTGTTTCTCTCTCTCATTCTGTCTCTATCTATCTATCTATCTATCTATCTATCTATCTATCTATGAGGTGCTGTTTGAGAATTTTTTTAACCGTAACAAACTGCACATAGACAATCCAATCTAATCATCCATTTAAAAAAAATATTAAAAATGAAAAAATTAGTCTCTATCTATCTATTTCTGTCTCTATCTATCTATCTATATATCTATCTATCTATCTATCTATCGATCTATCTATCGTTCTATCTATCTATCTATTTATCTATCTATCTATCTATCTATCTTTCTATCGTTCTATCTAGCAATCATTCTAAATATTTATCATTCTGTTTCTCTCTCTCATTCTGTCTCTATCTATCTATCTATCTATCTATCTATCTATCTATCTATCTATCTATCTATCTATCTATCTATCTAGCTATCTATCTAGCTATCT